GGGCTGTAGGTTTTGCTGCTGCTCAGTGTGTACGCTTGGCAGTGTACCTCAGCTCATTCAGGGTGGAAGACATTTCTCTTCTTTAGCACAGGGGGTAGCTTTGGTCCCAGACTCAGAGATGTGAGCCAGGCAAAAGGCACAGCAACTTGTCTTTTCCTTTCATCTCAGGAAAAAGACTGCTCTGCAGTTTCTCCCTCCATTGCCTGCGGTTGCCAGATGGAACACTCTGCTTCTACCCTATTCTGCAAACTTCTGTGTGACCTCATCTTTGCCTCTCTAACAAGGGACCCAAAATGTCATACTGCCAAAGGTATCTTCCCCAGCATGTGGCAGCAGGATTGCTAATTGCACTGGGACAGGCAGGAGCCATTCCAGCCATTCCCTGGGTTTCGGATGCAAGCTGAATCAGCTTGAAGCTTTATTCTCATTTTCCCCACAGTGACACACATTCCTGCACATTTTCCCTTGAGGTCTGGAGATGCAGAATGCACACAGCTGAGGGTTTCTTTCATCCCTTTCACACCTTCTTCCCTCCTTCCTCCCCTGGCCATTTCTTTCCCTGGCTTGCCAGCACTGCAGAGTGAACCTGTACTCTAGTCTCTACCTTTGGTATCAGGAGTTTGCTGCTAGCAAGTGCTAGCAAGTGCTGATTCTGCTGGTGATCTCTGGAGGAAAGGTGTGGCAGTGAGTGGGAACTGGGAATGTTTTTTACCAACTTAGAATGAGTCAAAGTGCTTAGATTTGCCCATGTCTTTCAGTTTTACTGTATCTGGTATATTCTGAAGGCTCTGTGAAACTTGCAACCCCTCTAGGGCAGCTAGAAAATGTGGCAGCATCTGACTCCTTACACCCACCAGGGAGGGCAATGTGTGCTGTGGAACTGTGTCCTATGTGCTTCTGTCATGATGTATAAATTACCTACATAGACTCCTTCATGCTTAGCAGGGAGGGAGCTGGAAAAGCAGCTACTTGGAAAAGCAGCAGCAGCAGCAAGCCATCAAAAATGGAATCAGTTCTGTTGCCAGAATAATTACTTGAGCCTAAAAATGTGAAGAAATTCTGAAAGAGCCTCTGCAGCCAAAACATTCTTCTGCTGACTGGTTTGCTGATAGGGGACAGAAAAATGGAGCATCCCTTCTAATTAGTGATGGGAGCTTGCTGCCTCAGGATCAAAGGAGAACGCTGTTTGCTGAATCAAGCCAAGATCAAAGTGTCCTACGTACAGGAAGGGCCCATTCCTCTTTCTGCTGACAGTGGTGTACCCTGCTCATCCTCTGGGCATGCTGCTTACAGGGCTGCTTAATTACGAAGTAAGGAGGAGACTGCAGTCACAAGAGAGGGTGCAATGGCCATTGTAATCCAATTCCGAGAGATGATTTGGTGGTGATCGATTCTTTGTCTCTCTGAAGTCATTCAACTTCTGAATGCTTAGAAAATACCTGGATTGTGTAACTTTGCAGAAGGAGACTTCTTACAACATCCTTTGCTTGATTTTTCTGACCTCTTATGTGTAATTTGACTTAGTAGGCTGTATGTGTGTGCATATATCTATATTTGCATTTATATCTACTCAAGGGAATTGAAGTCCTCATTCCTTAGGCTACATTGTAAAATCCTTATCCCAATAGATATGCTAAATTTGAAATCTCTTTTCCCCTCTCTCCTCTGCCTCCCTCCTCTTGCATTAATACAAACCCACATTTTTGCAATGCCCAATTTTGAAATGTTTAAACACGAATCATTTGGTTGAGTTTTCCTGGTTGATGTCACCCTGAGCAGACAGGTTTTTAAGTGTGTGTGACTTTGTGTGCATCCATCTGTGTTTTGGGCCATGACTGTTAAATGTGTGGAAGAATGCAGTCACAAAGATACTTGCATAGATGGACAAGTGCATATGTAAATGTTACATTTTCTGATAGTCTTGAGATGGTGCAGCTTCTGAAGAGGGTTTGGTCTTTGCTCTTTCAGCTGTCTCACTGAGAAAGGAGTCATGTTACAGTACTGCCTGCCCAGTGCTGTGCTAACACACCACCCTACCTCCCTGTTCATGCTGCTGGAGGAGGAGTTTGCCTGCCTTTCCTCATGCCTTGTTCAATCTTCCTTGTCAGAAGTGGCTGTGTGTGTGTTTCCCCAGCTGTAGCCCTGCAGGTGCCATTCAGCTTAACAAAATGAATCCTAAGTGCCACCTGCCTTGTATACCAAAAGAGCCAAAAAAGGGCCAAGGAGCAGTTTGCGTGCCCTGGGCTGCCTGAGGTAAAGGCAAGCCTGAGGAGCTGGCTTGCCTGGTGGTTTAACAAGGCAGAGGTAGGACAGTGTGTGTGCGTGTGGGGGGTTTGCTCATCTTGCAGGCCAGGTTCAAAGCAGCTCCTCTTGACAAGAGAAATGAACGGAGACCTCAGCTACTCCTTAGTGCTTCCCTGCTCTGTGGCATTCAAATTAAAAGGGATGCTGTGGTGCCTTGAAAGGAAAAGGAGATAATGTGGGCTGTAGGGTGTTGCAGCATAAGAGTGGGGTATTGACAGGGAAAAGTGAATATGTGTTTTCTTTCATCTTTAAAATTGCTCATGAGTACATTGCGAAGTTCTCAAATGTAGCAAAAAGTATTTTTACAGTGAATAAATTATGCATGTTCTATTTTAGTGTTTTTATTATTCTGCAGGATGTTTACAATCAACTAATAATAAATATTAGGAGTAGGAAGAGGGTGATTAGAAAACCTCATCATCTTGATGACTGAGTGATTGATGTAACTAATCCTGCAAAGCAAACTGCAAAGTCTGACTTTTCCAGTAAATTGGAACACTCACACTTAAGTATTACTTTTTCTGAATGACAAGGATTTGAATGTTTGGGTTTTTAATGGAAGGGAAAGTGGAAGGGATAAGGAATGAGACTGAAAAACACACAGTGCTGTTCCAAATTGCATGAGTAGTTTCTTTTCTTCTCATGGAGAGGATCTCATTAAATCTACACTCAACATAACAGAAGAACTTCCTGCACCATGTCGGAGAGGGAGGTCAATCCCATAGATGTTCAAATCATTGTGACTCCCTGCACACTGGTTAGCACATTCATGATGCTAGACTGGATGAGTTGTCATGGCAAGACAGCCTTCAAATTTCAGCCTGCAGAAAAGACAATTCCTTGCTGGAGTCACATTCAGCAAGAGAGATCTCCAAAGTTGACATGGATCACTTCCGGGCTTTGGGCTACTGCCACTGCCTTGCCAGCCATAAGAAAAGGAGGAGTCCAAATCCATTCCCAGCCTGTTGCCCACAGACACAGCTGGAAGGCAGATGCCTTGTGATAAAGGTGATGCTTATTCCTGGCTCTTCCAGTTATTTACTTCTGCTTGCTACTGACAGACTTGCATAGGAGATTGATGGATTAAGGTTCCACCAGCTGTTTCTTATCCGCCACCTAAATCTCTGAGATGTTAGCACTGGAGAGTAACTGTTTCCCTAGGGGTTTCCAAAACATTCCATATTTTTAAGTATGTCCCAAGACAATGAGGAAAGTCAGATTCGGGGTGCTTTCTCCCCACAAAGTAAGAAACTTGTGAACTTCACTTGAAGAGGTTAGAGTGAAATTTTGTCTGACTGTGTTCTGAAGCATTTCTGAGCCTCCCTCAACTACGTGGGGCTTTAAAGGTAGGAGATGTGGATGGAGGAATGGAAGTTTGAAAGAGGCAGCTGACTATTTGCCAAATCCCGGAGTAGTGCAACTCTGGAGCAGTCACTTCAAACACCAGAACACATGGAAGGCTGTTCAGGTGCTAGAATCTTTGGGTTCCCAGCATCTGAAGCTCAGCACTTCCAGGCTCTGGTGCTGCATTTCTACATTAGGCAGTCTGGGAAGGATTTCAGCAGACAAGCATGTGGGGACACTCACCTTTTCCTTAGATATCAGCCTGTTTGATGTCTTGGTAGTTCAGATAGAAAACTCTTCTTATGAAGCATTTCACCTTCAGCAAACCACTGTCTCTTGGCAAAAAATAGAAACTTTGCAGGCAGCCCTTCCTGGATTCAGCAAGAGAATAGGGTGGTCTGAAGACAGCACCTGGATGTTAGCAGTATTCTGCTGTTGCCTTGGAGCTTGAAAACTCCTTGCCTTCTTCTTCATCACCCTCCCACATGCTTTGAACAAGAAAATGGTGAGCTGTCATAGAGAGGCATAGCTTTTTGTAGTTAATATTTTGATTTTGTGGAGAAAAATGGTTTAAAGCATTTTAGTGCTACTTAAAGTGATGGTGGAGACCCCTTGGTTAGTTTCATTTGACAAGATTTTGGTGGTAGGAACAGATGTATTTCCCTGTGTGACTTGAGTCTTAAAATGGCAGCTTAGAGCTGCTGTCCTGGGAAGCTGGGGCTTATCAGGCTTTCATCTTTGTGCAGTGGAATGCAAAGAAGTGAATGGTGGAAAATAAATGAGATTTGATGAGATCCTCCAGTAGCAATAGTAATTTTTCATCACCTAAATAGAAATAACTGGACTGAAAAATATTTCATCTTTTAACCCTTTAAATTAAAAATATTGTTAAAAATCTTCTGGTCTTGCTGTACTTTATGAGGCATAAAGTTGGAGGAGAACTGTGTTTCTTGGTTAATATTGCAGTTTCTTTTTCTCATTCCCTGGTGTTGGGTATCACTAAGAGTCATGGGTTTGAAAACATATCTTTTTCTCTTAGAGACAACTTGTTGTTCTTAAACCCTTTACCTGTTGCCAAAAAAAAATCACTGCTGTTCTCAGAGGCTCTGAAACTAGAGTGCCCACAATTAAAAGGACCACATATCTACATTTGTCTGTAAAAAATGTCTGCATGAGAGCAGAATGATCTGTGAGGAAGGAATATAATTCCTTTTAGACATATATAGTAGGGTACAGTTGTGTAGGAATGGGATACTGAGTTGTGACCTGCAAGTGTATGGGACCATCTGCAGTGCTTTGAACTGTGTGTCCTTCTCCTGAAATACTTGAATTGTGTGTCCCTCTCTTTCCAGGTCTGGTGTGTGCCCTGGAGGTGTCAGTGAGTTCAGGGAGTATCCAGGTTGCCCGAGGCCAGACAGCAGTGTTGCCCTGCACCTTCACCACTAACGCTGCTCTCACTAACCTTAATGTCATCTGGATGGTCATTCCTCTTTCCAACGCCAACCAGCCCCAACAGGTAGGTCTTTTCTTCCTTGGGGCTTTCCTGCTCCCCACCATGTTCTGGATGTAGGCCCTCTACAATGCTGAGTCCACAGTGGTCCCAGAACTTCATTGTCCTTTAACTGCTGAATGTGTTCTCTGGGTATCACATGAATCTGTTTTCTTCAATGTTTTGTTAACAGATGCACATTGTGTCCTTGCCTGGATGTGCAGCTGGAGCAAGTGTATGTGATACTGTGTTGCTGCCCTGGGCCTCTGGTAGTTTGTGTGCTCAAAATAGCACAGGAAATGTAATCCAGGTTTTGGTGCACTGGATATGGAATTTGGAGGGCCTGGGAGTAGCTGCAGCTTTAACTTGTGAAATCTATGTAAAATGTCCTCTAACACATAACTTCTCATAGACTCATTGTCTCTTTTACTTCCCTTCTTATTTTTTCACTGCCTGTAGCTTTTGCAAGTCCATTCTTATAAATACTAGCAAATGAGAGTATATAATGGTGGGCACAGGAATCATAACCTGAGATATGCTGGTCTGTTTTTTGCCCACATACTCTGACAACAGAAGAATGCCTTTTCTCTGAAATACATCTTGGGTCACACTGCCCTGATCACATTTTGTATTCAGTGTGAGAACTTGCACTGAAGAATACTTGCTCCTCAGGGACTTGGTCTGAGCACAGTCTGACTGGCGGAGGCTGTGCAGGTTCAAAGGTTGCACTGCCTGTCATGCAGTTCATCCCAAAGTTCTTCAGTAAACAGTGTCAAATCATGGCAGGATCTTACTGATGGAGACTCAAAATGATACTGTCCACAGATGCTTTTCTTCAAAGTATTCACTGACCTGCTGAGAGCCTCTGCTTCTGTACATTGATCCTGTCCAGGCAGGTAATGACTATCATATGAAGGATGCTGATATTGCCAATCCAGCTACACAAGAAGATTTGGGTATCTTTCTGGTCTGTTACCTTTATGAACATTTTATTGATGTAAAATGGGCTACAGAGTGTGTTCCTGTTTTGGAAAAAACACAATTGCTAGGATGTATATTGAGGTTTGCTTATTCAGAGACATTTTACTAACTGGTCCTTTTGGCTTTGGAAGCCCATGTTTTGCTTGCTGTTCTTCCTCCTTGCTCAGCTCCTGCAGAGTGTTGTTTGAGCCTTCCTTTCTTTTGCAGGTTATTCTCTACCAAGGGGGTCAGATCTTTGGTGGTGCACCCCAGTTCTATGGGCGAGTGGGGTTTGCTGTGACAATGCCAACCACCAGTGCCTCCATCTTCATCAACAACACTCAGCTGTCGGATACTGGCACCTACCAGTGTTTGGTCAACAATCTTCCCGACCGAGGCGTCAGGAATATTGGAGTCATTGGACTTACTGTCTTGGGTGTGTTTATTGGGATTATGGGGCGAAGGGGGGAGGGGCAGGGACAAGGGGACCTCTGTGCATGACAGTGCATCATGAGCAACACAGTACTGTGTGCCTTTGAGCCCACAGACATCCTGTGGTGAGGAATGGGCTGCCTTATGGATACTGTGGGAGTTTGTAGGGCACATAGGCTTCATATGCAGGCAGTGTGTAATGAAGTTTTTAAATGTGGTGGAGAGAAAGTTTTTGGGTGGTATTGTGATATGGAGTTGCAAAGTAGCAGGAATAAAATATGAGGGCATCCCAGAGGGCTGAATGGAGCGTAAGGGGTTTGGTGCATAGCAACAGGAAGAGAGAATGACTTTATATCTTTGCTTCCTTTCCATGAAAGCTGTTAGTTCTGGATGCGCCCATTGATGCTAAATACTCCGAAGTGCATGACATTATAGGGATATGAAAGCAAAACCAAATCACAGTAAATTTGTCTATAGTTCTGTTAACTTTCACCATCCTTGCTATCTCAAAGACAGAAATATTCACCTTTTTTTCAAGGGAGAGGTCTAAGAGAACTGGGTCATGTGAAAGTCAGCAGTAGTCTGTAACCCCGATGGGCTGGTGGGTCAGGAATCTTTGTGTGAATTGTCTCCCCCCAAACCATAATGAGTTCTTGTCTGCTGCCTCCTTCTTGTCCTCTTGACAGCTCATGCCACTGTCCTTGCTTTCCCCAGCAGCACATGTCCAGAGTGAGCCTGCATTCTGCTGTTTGGTCACATTTCCTGATTTGCTATCACCTTCCCCTCTTCTCTCGCAGTTCCTCCTTCTGCCCCGCTTTGCAGAATCCAGGGGTCCCTGGACGTGGGCAGCGATATCACACTGACCTGCAGCTCAGAAGAAGGCATCCCCCGGCCAACATACCTCTGGGAGAAACTGGACAATGTTCCCAAGTTGCCCCCAACTGCCACACAAGGTGCTCATTCTGTTGATTATCCTCTTATTTCCCAGGTGGCAGCCTGGGCTGTCCCTTGTCTGAGCTACCAGAGGTGGCATGGCTCACTGAGCGTCTGCCATCATTTGCATGCTCCCTTTATTGGAATGAAGATTCCTAAAGCCCACGATGGACGGGGTACCCTCCAGAGGCCACTTCAATTTTTGTGGGTTTCTCTAGTCCAGAAACATGTTCCCGATTGAAAAACAAGGATTGGGTCAAATGGAAGAGAGAGAGAGTGATTTCTAGATGTTGGCATGTGGCTGGAAATTTCAGCTGCCAACCCACCTGCATTTTAAATCAAATGAAAGACTCATAGAATGGAAGCGGGAAAAAGAGAGGCAGAATCATCCTGGGGAAATACAGCCAGCTTCTCACAGTCCTCCATGAGGAACTGATGCCACAGTTCTCCAATACATTACTGCCAGAGATGCTTTTAAGATGTATAGAGAAGCAGGGCTCTGATCAAACTGGTGTGTCCCAGCCTCAAGTCCCACTCTTAGGTTTTCTTAGCCTAGGTGTCCTGATCAAATACTGACAGCTGTACTTTTGCCCTTTATCTTGCTGTATTTTAAGAATACGCCACCTTTCAGTTTCATATAATTCAGGGATGAGGAATATTGGCAGAGCAGGAGATGGGGAGCCCAGAGATGGGAGAGTAGGGGTTCTGCAGAGCAAGACTGAATTCAACAAGTAGATCTGGGTATAGGTAATTTTGCATCTCTTTCTTCCCCATTCTTACACAATGCTGAGAGTCCCAAGCTTTCATCTGCAGAAATTCCTCTATAAGAAGAGAAGGAAACATGTAGTGTAAGCTCCTTAAGGCCTAATCTTGTCTCTGTGTGTGTATGTGCACGCACAATGCTTCCATCTAAAGGTTATTTCCCAATTTATTTCTCTCTTAATAGTCTCACACCAAAATTCTCTATTTACTGGCTTTGCCTTTTCATGGTTTTCCTCAAGCGGGGGAGGGATTTAAATCCTTCTTTTCTCTCTGACTAGACCAAGTCCAGGGCACTGTCACTCTCCGAAATATCAGCACTGTGTCCTCAGGTCTTTACCAATGTGTGGCTTCAAATGCCATTGGAACCAGCACTTGCCTTCTGGACCTGCAAGTCATTGCACGTAAGTATTTTGCCAGGGGAGGCTTGGCCACCTGTTTCTGTCTTGTGACAGTAAGGTGTGTAACCATGTTTGCTGTGAGCCACCACATGCCTCTCCATCAGAAGACAATCATGCCCTGGAATGGGAACATTGCCTCTCTCCCCTCCCAAGCCACGCAGTTTCATGTGCTTACAGATGGCCACAGCCCATCCCTGATTTCTTCTTCATGCTCTGTTCAATCATCTCCACAGCTCATCCACGGAGTATCGGCCTGATTGCAGGAGCGGTGGCCACAGGTGCCGTTGTGCTCGTTGTTTGCATTGTTTTGGTGGCTGTAGCACTGTTCTACTGGAAAAATAAACACAAAGAAGAAGAAGAGGAGGAAATTCCCAATGAGATAAGGTAAGGGTCAGGGAAAGCTGGTGATGGGGAACCTCCAAGAAAAAGCTGTAGCTGACAGGAGTGAAATTGGAAACCTCATTTTTGTTAATCCTGAGTGTGTTCCCCCAGGTCAGATGCCCATATATATCCAGAAAATGGAGGGAGAAAATGAAAAATTGTAACAACACATTTTCTTTTCAGTATTGCCTCTAATGTCTTTAATCCTTCTGCCAGCAAGAGGGACGGGACTTCATGTTGTTAGCTCTGTAGGAGAGTGATGTGGTGGGAATTCTGACCCATAATGCCAGATACTGCTATCACTGCCAGCAGTGATAGCTAAAAAACTTTGGAGATACAGCTGTGATATTCTCCAGTCACAGAGGTTACAGTCACAGCTATCACTGTCTGGCACTGCCTGACTTTCTTTGAGCATGGGTCATTTGCCTCAGTGGCAAATTTGGCACCGGGAGCACACAGGACCTACACATAGGTAGGACCTGCAGAGAAGGACAAGCGAACAGGCCAAGGAGCAATGCTGATTCACATGGTGCTTGGATCGATGACCCCAGCATGGTAGTTAGGGGTGGGGATGTTGGACAAGTGGGCCAGTGTCCTCCTTATGCCCTCACATCTTCTTCTTCCCAGAGAGGATGAACTGCCACCCAAATGCTCCTCTGCCACAAAGACGTTCCATGCTGATGCGTCCTCATCAGAGAACGACACCCTCACCTCCTCCAACACCTACAACAGCCGCTACTGGAACGACCCTAAAGCCAACCATGCCACAGACTCCTTCACCCGCTTCAGCAACAGCAACGATGCTCACCAGCCCCCCTTCTCCCGCTCAGGGAGCACGAGTGCCCGCCCCGTCTATGCCAACGGTGGCCACCCGTCCCCGGCTCCCCCTAAGACACTGGTGGTGACGGCCAGCACGGCGCCGTCGCCTCAGGAGGTGATCCGGAGCAACGGCTCGGTGGGCAGGAAGCCACGGCTGCCGCACACCCGCTCCTATGCAGTCAGCCAGGCCACGCTGGAGCGCATCGGGGCTGTGCCCGTCATGGTGCCCGCCCAGAGCCGGGCTGGCTCCCTGGTGTAGGACCGTGTGGGTGGCTGAGAGCTGAGCAAGGGGCCTCTCATCCCCGGTGGGGCAAAGAGACCCTACTCCTTCCTGAAAGTCAGTGAGGCGGTGGGGGGGTCACACACTTCCCTCTCCACCTGCCCTCCCCTCTCGAGGCTGCTGCCAGCTGGTGGGACAGCCCTGGCCCAGCCGCTCTCCCCCCAGCTGCTGGAGCTCCTCGTGCCAATGGACGCCACAGATGTGCCAAGGCCAGAGGAGCAGGGAGGTCGGGATGTGCTCCCGGGCTGCTGGGCCCCAGCCGGGACATGCACTCGGGCCTGACCCTGGGGGGAACATTTGCTTTTATTTCCTGTTGGTTTTGTTGGGGACTGATTCCATCCATTTGGGTCTTTCAGGGAGGTTGGGGAGATATATATATATATATTATTTTTTTCCATTGTTGTTGCTGTTTTGTTTCCAAGAGGATGATGACCTGTGTTGGGGCAGGGAAGGCTGTGCAGCCCCAACTTCCCATGGCCCGGGCTCCACTGTTGGATTAGGGAGTACTGTGCACTGGGGCTGGGTGTGAGGAGGCATGGGACAGGCTGCAGGGGAGATGAAGGCACAGCCACCAGCCCAGGCAAGGGGATGGTTGGGTGAGGGTGTGGGCTAGGAAGCATTTGTCTTTATTTTTTGTGGTTCTTCCCCCCACCTCAGCACACACAGACACACACAGGCACACACACAGACACAAGCAGATCCTCAGACTGGGTGTTTCTCCTGCACTAGGTTGGAGTGCCACCAGAGCCCTGTTTATAGCTGTGGAGGATGCAGCCGTCTGAGCATCTTTCCCTGAGACACTCGGTGCAGGGCAAGGCTGCACCACTGCTGCTGCTGCTGAAGCTGCTGCTGCTGCTCTGGGGCTTGGATCTCTTTTTTTCCTTTTTTTGGGGTGTTGCTGGGGTTATTCAGGAGGCAGAGAGGAGCAGGGTGGTGCGATGGAGCACCAGGCAGGTTCAGGAGGCATCTGTTGCCCCTGGGCTGTTCTGATTTGGGGCAAGTGACTTCAAACCCCACAACTTTGATGTTTGCATGGTGGATTTTATTCATCAGGCTATGCAGGGCTGGGCAGCATGGCAGGGCTTGGAGCCTTCACAGAGAGGCATCAGAGTTTTCATTCCTGCTCTCCCACGTGCACAGACATGTTAGCAGGATTTCCTTCCTGCTCTAGAATGCAGAGGCTTAATGAAAGCCCACACACACTATCTCTCTGCCTCTCCCACTTCCCTCAACGTCCTGGGACTGGGTACTGGTGGCATCTGCCAGTGGCCCTGCCATCTCCTTGCAGCCTGGCAGGTGGTTTTGGCTGGCACCTCTATTTTTTCTATTGCAACTAAATAGCCTTAATCAAAGCCAAGAGTTGAAACCTCTGAAGGAATCTGATGCCATTTGGAGGGCTGGACTGAGGGCTGGGATTTCCTCTCCTAGAGAGCACTGGTTCAAAGAGGCCACACCTGGATAGGTGTTTTGGTCCTCCTGCATAACACCAAGCCTTGCACAGGCAAAGGCAGCAATCACCTCAAAAAGCACCAGAGCCCTCCCAGGTCTGCTCTTGGAAAAGCAATGTGGGGAGTCACAGGTGACTTCCATAGTTCTCACATTGGAAAAGGGTCTGTTTAAGCCAACAGACTCTTCCTCATCCCCACTTTCCTTGTCCCAGCACGGCTTTACTTTCCCTAGCAGTGCACAAACCTTGGGCAGGGCCTTCTACCTGAGCAGTACAAATGCAAGCACAGACTCTGAGGATGAGGAGGGAGAGGTGAGGGCTGGGTTCCCACGTGGACACAGTGGCTTTTTGGGAGACTGGGAGCTCCCAAGCAGCACTAGGTTTGAAGCTTGGCTGAGATTTTGTGCCTTCTTTTCTTAAAATAAAAAAAAAAAAAAGGAAAAATGAAAGAAAAAGGAGATAAAAAATCCAAAATCCCTTCTTTCCCCCTCTACAGCACTGCATCCAGAATGTGTGCAAAACCCCCAGGTGGTTACTCTGTGTGTGCACACATTTCACTGGTGCAGTCCAGTTTCCTGCCTGTCTGCTCTCTTTGCTGCTGGGTGGTAGGATTGATGGGGGAAGAAGAGTGGCTTTAGAAACCCTAATGGGGGAAGGAAAAAACCCAAAACAATCAAAGAAAAGCCCAGACACATTCTCTCTGCTTTTGTAACAACCCCTGTGTGATATTTACAGGAACACTGCCCTCAGCAGGCACCCTCCTCTACTGGGAAAGAAGCTCTTCTGGTTCCTACCCTCCATAAGACTGTTTGCTCCTCTTTCTTTGTTCTTTCTAATTGTATAAAATTCAATAAAATTTTATTCATATAAAAAAAGGATTTCTGCCTGCCTGCTGCTGCTTTTTTCTTCCTCCTACCTAATTCTGTAACTACAATGACTTTGGCCATTAGTACTTATCCTTGATGTGACTGGCAGTAGGCAGTGACCATGCAGCTGAGAGCTGAATGTTATTAGGCCAGCCTATTTGGTAGTGAGCTCTGGTACTAGAGCCTTGTTTTTCCCATTCATAATAGTCTGACACATTGCCCTTGAATGTACAATTTCCCAGGCTTGCAAGGTCGCTACTTCTCTGGACAAAGGTGAGTTTTATTTTCTGTCTTTTGGCAGGGGAGACCCTACGCGGCTTTGAGTGATGTGGGAAAATGTTTTTTATAATTGCCAAATTGGTATTGGTTTTCCAATCAAAACCATGGCATGTTTATCCCAGATTCAAAATATAAGGCAGTCACTGATTTTCTTGGGCATTTGAATAAGTTTGATGGGGGAAAAATATTAGGAAATAAACAGAAATGCTGATCCCCACAGACAGAGCATGTGAAATTTCAGTGTCTGAGCATTCACACTCTCAGAGCATTAGGGCACTGCAAAGAATACACTTCTTAGTCTGTATCAACAGCTGCTACCAGAAGGTTACAATTAGTTAGGGCAACCTGATGTTTTGCCAGGGATTTTGCATTTTTCTCTCCATGTTTCATTTCCCCTATTCCTTTTCTAAAATCTCACAGATATTCTGAGAGTGATTATTAAAATCAAAAACCTGCAGATCCAACAGCAGTGGTAACTCAGCCCTGCTGCACATGCATCATGTTCTCATTCCTGGGTATTTTTCAAAACCTACTTCCAAATGCTCTTGTAAATGTGTTTTCAGCTATAGACCTTACTGTAAATAAGACAGCTGCATTGCCATCTTCAGGAAGTTGTCATAGGAATCTTAATGTTTCCATTTATCACCTTTTGATTGTGCAATCTTGATGTGACATTAGTAGCATCTTCACATTTTATTCCCATGATAGCCCTGTCAGTATTCTGCTATACTATCCATCCCTTGCTACTGGTTTGCTCCTTGCATCATCCTTCTGCATGTCTTGTTGATCCAGAGCAGGATTTCCTCGGATGCAGGATGGTTTGCTAGGTTTGTGCAGCACCTGGAATGCTGGAGTTTTAACCTATAAATTGTGCCTAGTGAAGTGTTGCTGCAACACAAATAACTGAAGAAAACAATACCAGTTAGATAACTTGATAGTGCTCCAGAGTTTTAATTTATCACTAAAAATCAAACAGAGGTTCAAGCTATTGCAGCAGTAAGTGAAAGTCACCATTGAAATGGTTGAGTTTGCTGACAGCCTTCAGTTCCAGATGTGCCACAGGGACTGTCCATCACATGCCATGGATGTTGCTTTAAATGTTGGTACCTATGGCTATGTCACCTTCTACCAAAAATTCAGAGAGGAACTTGTTCTGAAACAAGGATTAACTGTACTTTTGTGTGCTGAGACAGAAATAACCATGAGAGGATGCTTCACACTTTAGAAGTGGATATCTTTTTAGAGGCTGGTGTAGATGAGAGCTCAGTTAAAAATATTTGGGAAAACTGGTCTGCAGACTGCCAGAAGTTTTTTTTAACTTACGCAGCTTTTGGACTCATATCTGCTGATTCAACTGAACTAAAAAAAATTAAAATTATTCAGATGCATGCACTTCAACACACTCTTGCTGAAACACAGATGAGTTTCCAGCGGAAACCAGTCGAACAGATGGTATCCTGTCCAAAACTGCCTGGTTTCCCTATGAGGATGGGGGATGCTCAGGACATCAGTCTTTCTTACATCACGGTTTAGGCCTCATTAAGAAGACATCAAATCAGGGTTGCCTCAGATGATACCCAGGAGGTAACTGGGTGATTGATGGTACTGGGCACAGGAAATCAAACACATATTTTTATATTGGAGGAATGTTCATCATTATCATGGTTTCATCAAGTACATTGGTAAGCTCTTCCAGGTTACTGGATTCTTCTTGAAAGCAACATTTGGCATCCCAGCCTCATTCACTTCAGGCATGCAAGTGTCTTTTTGTGTCTGCACTTTAACCTGGATCTTCCCAGCCATGGCACTGGTTTGTGAGCAGGTGGATGGGTCTGTGCATGTGTCTGCCAGCACCAGGTGAACCCAAAAGGGTTCAGCAGATTCTCTTATGATAGTCTTGAACATTTCTAGCTTGTGGAAGACCGAGGAAGTACATGCCTTTCACAAGTTCACTTCTGAGCAAACCCAAGCACTTACGTTAACTCATGGCCTCTGTTTACCAGAGGCCTGGAGCAGAGCTGGTGTCAGGTTTCTCCATGACTGAATTGCCTCTCTTTCTGTACTTTTTCCAAGGGCTGCTGGCTATTCTGCCTGCAGCTTGTTTTCCTGATGCCAGCAAAGCAGTGCTTACCCACTATGCCCTTGTTATAGGTCTGCTCTTGCCATGAGAAAGGCAAGAGGTGCTGGTGAGGATCAGCAATATGGGTGTTGAGAGAGGGAATGCAGTGTCACTGAGCTCACTGAGCCACGCCTCTTCTTGGCCGGGGAGTCGATGGACATCAGGGACAAAGCAAGCCTTGAAAGCAGGGAGAGTGAAATGCTGTGGCTCTTTTTCTTCACATTGCTTTCCTCCCTGTCTGCCCCTGTGCATTGCATGTGCCTGGAGGATGTTACTGAGAATTACCAGGTCTGTGACCTCCTAAGCAAGGGAGGGCACATGCAAGGCATTTCCTGAGCCTTGGCACTAGCGCAGAGCTCTTGTTGACTGGTGGACAACACAGAGAAAGGTTTCCTTAGGTCACCTACACAGCAATGGAGGGGGAGAGGGAGATAATATGTGGCAAGAGCTTTGGACACGGGGATGCTGTTTTTAGCGAGGAGAAACTTGGTAGTCTTGGGACTTCCTGACTCTAGAGCTCTGGCATATTTTCTTTGATGTGTTTCCATGGACAACGACATCTGAAAAAGCACTTTTCCTTTCCCTGTAGTAGAGAGCACTGCTGATGTGCAGGAATGGGGCAGTGCGCATGGCCGAGGATCAGACTCCTCACTAAGCCTTCTAATGCCATTTTCTGCTTGTTGTTTGTTCCTGATTTCCTTCTTCCTCCCACTTCCTCTATAACATGCTTGAATGAGAAAGTGGATTGGCAGGAAATTTAATCTATCCATGTAAAAACAAGCAAAAAACCCCCAACCCCAGAAAACAAATAGCAGTAAAGAAGAGAGATTAAGACGCAGCTTGCGTGGTTGGCTGGCAAGTGATGCTTTAGCAGTGGATGTAGCCTGGGTCAGGTCCTGGATTTGGACTTATTAAATCATACTTGGGAAGGGATGATGACTTGCTTCCAGTCGATATGCTTTAATAGGAAAACTGATGTGGTACATGCTCAAAGAGAAACATTGGCTCAGGGACTGGACACAGTACAGCCCAGAGGCTCTGTAGTTTCTTGCTTGCATTAAAACCCACTATGTTTGGTAGAGTCTGCCTTCCTGGATGCTATCAATATCTGCAGAATTTCTCTCAGGTAGCTAATTTTTCTTGAATGATCACAAGACCCTGTGGCAAGCAATCACCAGGTTGTTGTCCATGTGGATATTTCAGACAGGGAAAAGGTGTGAGATCTGGGTTGCAGCAGCACTCTTTAAATTGTGGCAGTTTCTGAGGTTGCAGAATAGCCCAGAGACTTTTTCTCATGCTTGGCATCACTGGTACACCCTTTGCATCTGGGATCCTCTCCTCTCTTTCTAGATTGAGGCTTGTGGCACATTTGCCCCTGTTCTCCACATGAAGGACCAAAGGCAGCAGGGGCTAGAATTAGCTCCATAGAAAATACAGCATGACTTTAGACTCTCAAAATTAAGATTCTTAGGAATAGAAGCTATTACAGAAATGTGCCATGGACAGAAAGCAGCTCTTTCGGCTGTGGTTTTCTGCTGGGATAAATTAATAAATAAAATCAAAGACTAACTTTTGGTGACACAAACGACGGTAATAGGTGCACAGGCACACAGATCTCCCACCAGCTCTCTCCGGGGGCACAGCTCAATGGCCACAGACTGCAGTCCGTTCCTGCTATCTGCGAACACAATCTCCTCAGTTTTGTTTGCCCATCTTCCTGGTGGGTGAATGCATCCTCCACTTGCTCATCCACGCTCGGGGACAGCGCCGGAGGTCGAAGCACGACAGCAAAGGATGAGAACGCCCCTTGCTCTTGCTCAGCCCAGTCACCCAGGGCACGCATCCCGTGTGTTTCCCGGGATAACCTGTTGCGTAGCTCCCAAATCGCGGTGCCTTTCGCCGCTCCTGCCGTCATTGCACCAGTTGCACACTGGCCAGGGAAAGTTGATTACTTCTGGGAAAGCAGGCAGGGAGCTTCGGGGCGATGTCGGCAGACCAGCCGCACATTCTAATTCCCTCACTGCCGCCGGATTTGGGTCACAAACATCGCCTTTTTTGGTGGCTCTACGCTGACATCCTCTGGAGGGATGCAGAACTTCAGCCGCTCCCGTGCGCTGCTGAGCTCGCCTGCACATGGCTGCACCTCCTTCCAGCTCCCGGGATGGCTTCTCCCCCTGTGATCCTGCAAAGA